AAAAAAAAAATGAAAGGAAGGCGACGATGGATTACACAAATAAAAGCCAAGACGCTGAAATTTCATAACTCGAATAAATTACATTTTTGGAGGGTTTTGAGAAATCGAATCTGCGCGTTCTACTGCAGCCAGAGTTTGCTTGGAGAAGGAAGGTTGTTCCATCTCGCGTGGACTCTGTGTATCAACTATCAATCATGCGGAACGGACAATTTGGGCTTCATCTACCAGGCCCAATTAACTTTTGTGACCCAAATATATATGGGCTTTTGGGCCCACCTCATTGGTATGTATGTTGAATTGCAAGCTTTACTATGAAAAAATATTAGAGAAAATTACTCTCCACACCATTCTACAACATTTATGTCACACTTGCACGGCTCAATAAAACCTTTAGCAAATACACCAAATCTATTAACTTTATTTAAAACCTTTAGCAAATACACCAAATCTATTAATTTTATTTACAAACAATCGAGGAATCTAGATAAGCAGTATAATTATATTATCTGTAATTAAGACGCATTTAATGGGATCAGTTCTTCGGGTAAGGCTACAGCCCGTTACGGAACTATTTCGTTGGAAATTGTAACCATATTTATATTAGTTATGATATGTATCTAACGGTTACAAATCCCAACGAAATAGTCCCGTAACGGGATTGTAGTATTTTCTCAGTTCTTTAACTTAATTGGATCTCTCTCTCTCTCTCTCTCTCTCTCTCTCTCTCTATAATAATGCTTAATTTTTTTCTCTTCCCCCACAACTAAATTTTTCTCTTTTTTTTTTTCGATCGGTCGATTTCTGAAGTCGGATCGAGGTTTTTCGGATCGAGTTCTAAAGTCGAGTCGTCAAGGCCCGATTCACCATCATCGAAAGATGCGTCCTTGATTTTCACTGGGCTCCAGCGGCAGAATAGTGTTTCATCAGCCACCGTGTTCGGCGGGCAAAAAATCGCCGAAATAGCAGTTATACCACCATTTTAATTATTCTGATGAGCGATTGTAAGATTATGGGTGTTTTATTTCTTGCGTTTTATTATGTATTTAATCACTCGAGTCGAATATGCGATGGCTTCTTTTTCTGATCCATCCAGTTGTTTTTTTAAGAGACAATGATGGACTCCGGCGGTTGCACATCCTTCCGCTCCTCCTTCCTAGCGGGACGATCAAGTTGGAGATGTCGAAGGCGAGGCCCGAAGCTCGGGCTCGTGGAGATGTCGACAATATATGCTGCGTGTACAGACAATATATTTTTTCTGTCGGCCCGTGCTTCACGTGTTTATCATTTGGCCCGTGTTTCATTTCATTTGAAAATTTTGGCTTTTATTTGGGATTGTTCTGTTCTAATCCATGATCAATTTATTAGATAAAAATACTATGTAAAGAAAAAACGCAACATATATTGAATATATATTAACTATAAACACAATATCTTGAACCAAAATTCAAACATCACAATGTGGTTAGATATAAATAATAATATTATGTAAAAAAAAACGCACCAGGTTATATACTCAGCCAAAATTCAAACATCACAATTGTGGTTACACAAAAATTTCATGTAAATAAAAAAAAATAAAAAATATTGACTACAAACGCAGTATACACTTTCCATTCAAAACACTTGAGAGCTGAAATTCTCATGACCTGCGCAATTTAAGGGGGAGACAGTTACATTTTATTTGGTAACTCATAATCCCATAATCCGGTGCATCTTTGCAATTAATTGGCATGAAATTTGTAAAAATTCAAATAAAGTTGTCTCATCGTAAAATTATAATTATTTCCAAATCACACAGTAAAGACAAAAGATCGTGAAATAATTATGCCCTTCACATACATTTATTTGTACATATATATATATATATTTTTCAATGACAAATATACTAATTTAATGATCATGAATGGTTCACTACAAAAAAAAAAAATAAAAAAAATGATGAAATTCCAGCAAATTTTTTTAATGAAAATACATTTTAATGGATTCCAACGAAAATTCCGACAAAAATATTTCGTTGGATTTTGACGATTCCAACAGTAGATTTCCAACGAAGGTGGAAATAAAAATTCCAACGAAAATTGCAGTTAGAAAAATACATTCCAACGGAATATTTTTTGTTGGAATTACCATTGGAATCATTCCAACGAAAATTATACCATTGGAATATCTGTTAGAATTTCATTTGGAATATATTAACATAGGATTTCCCGTTAGAATATACCAATTTTTTTTTTGTAGTGGTTGATTCCTGGCTTTTTGTTTGTCATTTCCGTCTAAATTATATTATTAGAAAATGCTAAAGTCCCGTTGCAGGATAATTCTGTCAGTGTTTTTCACTATTGATATACATGTAGAATATGCAGTGTAGATAATCTATGGTAACAAATAGTACTTACGGAACCATTCCCTCACGGGGACGGTAATCATCCCCTTATCATTTTAAGGTTTATCATTCCACGTACTTAGTATGTTGTATTAGTCTGTATCTATACTTATATTATAAGTCATCCTATTTACTATATTTAGTATTAAGAAAAGTCAACATTAATTAATGTTTTTTAGGTTAGTATTTTATTTACTTATTTTATTTATTTGTTTTCCCCCATTACATCGGTTTAATCGAAAAATTCCCATAAAATCTATTTTCTCAAAAAATTGTACATAAAATCCAAAAAAGGCATATTCGATCGGTGATAAAAGATTTGATCGGTCAAAGTTATATTTTTATTTTACATCACACATAAATAAAGCAGATATCAAGCCTAAATTTAAGGGTTAGTTGTGTATTGATTTACGTAAATACATCTAATTTTTAAAGTTTGTATATATTCAAAATTCCTTCTTATCTTTTTATCACCGATCGTATCTAATTGTATGTAAATCTGTTCAGATTTGTTTCTCTAGATATAATCCGATTTCCGTAAAATAAGATTTTTTTCATAAAAATATTAACCGCTATTGTATCTATCGTCGAATATAAATTACTAATCTCAAAATATTGAGTCATCGTCTTCGTCCCTGTCAACCTCCTGCGAAAAAAAAAAAAATCATCAATTAGTCTTATATTCAAAACAATTAATCAAAGATTTGACTTAATCAAACAAGTTAATAGGTCTAATAGGCATATGCTGAAGGCTCGAACTGTAAAAATGTTTTTTTCAAGACCGGGGTAACACAAACAAATCCTATCTCGAGTTGGTTCTTCATGATAAAACTGTAAGTCAAATTATTTCTTTTTTTTTTTAATTTCGAACTATGAAACGTATATTTTCTACTTTTTTAATTTTATTTTTTAAATTAAAATTTGGCTTCTTTCTTTTAATCGTGTATGTATTCAGATATTTAAATTATTTATATATATTTTTTTTTTAAAAAAATTGTTGATTACCTTTTTGTACATGTTGGAGATAATCGCATTGCGGCATGACTATGAGCAATCTACTTGGCTGCGTTTCGAGAGAAGAATTTTGAGGAGGGCATGATCATTTGTATCAAGAATTACCAAGTTGACAGCAATCTAGGAAAATAACGTTTGACATCCGGTAATTTTAAGATCATTCTACACGGGAGCATTATACGTTGTTGTTTCGAGTGTTACTAATAGAAGGGGTTGAAGATATTAGTTTGTGAGGATGACGAGTTGCCCAATAATCAAACTCACAATGTTGTGTACAAGTAGGTCTTTCATAATATATGATTGTTTCTTTTTCGAATACTATTTTTTTGTACAATTTTCCTGCGTATTATAAAACTTTTATTGAATATTGCATTTTATAATATAATATTCCCCAAATAAATATATTATCTCATGTCTCGCACAAGTCACGTACTATATATATCCCGTACATTTTTTTATATTCATTTATATAATTATGAGACTGTATAAATAACCTTAAAATTATACATCTCGTGCATCGCACGGGCTCTGTATTAGTTTACGCAAATAAGGATTTTGTTCATTATAACCGGCATTAATTAATTACTCCCTCCAAGTGAGGGGCATAATAATTTGTACTAACTTTCCGTCATTGCATCAATATCTTGTGTTTGTCCAACAAATTCCTTCCATCAATCTCGCCGAATCATATGCTGATTGATTGGTTAATTACCATCACTCCCCTGATTTTCCTCGATTAATCCTACTACTATTTTTATTTTCAACTCATTATCATTACTGAATTGCTAAATACTACATAAAATTACTAATATCGCCCTCGAAATTACCCTTACCTATAAAAAAAAGCAAAAAAAAGAAAAAAGAAAAATCCAAAAGCGCCGCCCTGTACACACCGCCCCACTACTCTCACTTCTCTCCCTTTTCATACTTTGAAGAAAAAAAAAATTCAAAACAAAATATCAAACAACATTTTAATTACTAAAAAATTGAAAAAAATTCGAATAAATGGTCGGAGGACAACATCGACACGGCAAGGAGCCCGAGATTCGACAGGTAATCTTTTCATTTTTTTTGATTTTTTTTTAATGGGCCGGCCGCCAAACGCGATCCTTTTTGAACACGCCAGGCCACGATTGATGCCGGTCTGAGCACAGAAGGCCGCAGATTGCGGCCAGTCTTCACTCAGCGGGCCGCGGAATGCGGCCCGTAATTTTTTTTTTTTTGTGAGCCGGCCGCCGATCGCGGCGGCATTCCAAGGTGCCAGGCTGCGATTGCGGCCGGCCTTCGATCAGCGGGCCGCGGAATGCGGCTCGTAAATTATTTATTTTTTTTTGTGAGCCGGCCGCCGATCGCGGCGGCATTCGAAGGTGCCAGGCCACGATTGCGGCCCATTTTTTTAAAAAATAAAATAAATTTTAAATATATTATTACTTAATATATATATTTTAAACATAAAAAATTTATTTACAAAATTTCATATATTAAATATATTAATATATATTTATTTTGTGTTGAAAATAGGGTTTATTGCACTAAATCTCCCTGTATTATATGAAATCTGCGCGTTATCCCTCTGTATTTCAAAAATTGCGTCATACCCCCTTGTATTTAATATCTGCGTGCATACTTGCCCTTGGATATTAACACCGTTACTTTAACACTGACGGTGTTACTTTTTTTGTCAAATTTACCATTATACCCTTACTTTATTGCTGAATTTACCATTATGTCATTATACCTTTATTTTATCACTGAATTTACCATT